AGTGCCGCTTTTAGGAAAAACACGATTTCTTTCTCATGATCTTTTTACTCGGCACATTTGCACCTACATATGATAACGACTGTCTCACTGGTTGTTTTTTCTTAGTGGAACAAATACTGACAACATGTATGTGGAAATATCTTGTCCCTACGATCTACCAGTAGAGAGATAAATAAATTGTCTTGTCAGCAGAGATGAATGTTGATGGAAGCCTGCAGATAGGAGTGTTCTTGTGACGGTCTGACCATGATGTTTGTTTTGGAGGTTACAAACCAACTGAAATGTTCCACAAGCATTTTCCTTCATTTTGTGTCTTGTTAGAGTCAGAGATGCACAAAATATTCCACCACTCGACGAGAGCAATTAAAAAGCCTCTCTGCCAAAGGTTACTTGCAGACTAGAGATTTATTGTGTTGCTACAGTTATCTGTCAGATAAACAAGCGCTGGTGGGTGTTTGTAATTGCATGTATTGAACATATGTGGTGTGTGGGTCATTTACAGTCAGCCTCACAATTTACTAAACTGAACAGATGTCCTCTTATGATTTATTTGCTATACTACACGTCAGATTTATTATTTTTGCATTTGCTATTAAGATCCTTTTCCATGAGCTGCGTATGAGACAATGTGGCCATCTCATACATTACCATTACATATATATTCAAGACGAGTACTCTGGTTGTGTGGTCTTCTGCTGCTGGCTCGCGGTGTTTTCATGGATGATGGATCGTGTAAATTGTATGTCGAGGCAATTGGGGATACTACTGTACATGGGAGGTTATATCAATGACAACACAAAGTTGTTGTTTTAGTAACCATGGACAACCACACGCCCCTGTGTGTGGGTGATGTTAAAGAACACGGTGGTTACCGCCGGTACGAGAGAAGGCCATGACAGCGTTACACACTAGACTCCTAAAAACTGTCACGGTAGAAATACACATAATATTACTTCCCCCCGTCTGTTTTTCTCCATATTTAATTGATTTTCTCACTCTATCGAAGAAGTTTTACTACAGACTTTTTCCACTGTCACGCATTTTCAATCGATGACATAAAAAGTGTAATCTCGCGTAAGTAGCCTACTGTCATTTGAGTTGTATCCGACATACGTTTTCTGTGTCGAAAAGTAACTTTTACAATGTGTTATAGAAAATGATATTCTCGGAATACCTCACCTTGTTTACTTTGTTTTTTGTTGGTTTTATAAATATATCGTTTTTATTGAACGGATAAAAACCTATCCTGAATTTATTTTTCTATTACCAACCCAACATTTCGCATTATCATCAGCATTTTTACATAATAAAACACTATATTATAACAAAGAGCACCAAGCCTTTATACATCAGCCTATTGAGACTATCTTTCTCCGCGACGTTGGCAGCCAGACCAATCCGTAGCTGAATAGCGAAGTAAGAACTCTTTATATCGTATTTTACATAATAGACCAGCTAGACATTCAGCACTTCGTCTAAGGCTATGTAACAACGCACAGGTGTACGATAAAATCATAACGATTGGCTACATTCGACACTTTTGTAGTAGTTTAATTTATGTCAGCAATCATAAATACCCAAAAAGTGTTGATTCATGCGCACCCAGTGCGCCTGAATACTGCTGGATAAAAAAAAGCAACAGTGTATTGAATAGCGTACATTACAGGTTTATGATATCATGCACCGTCTAGACACGCCGCTCAAGGATATGACATATATAAATATATAAAGATATATGTATTCAGATCAACATAATAATGTGATCTGCTTAAATATATATGACAATAAGAAGATATAAGAAAATAGAACATGAAAGATAATATAGAGAGAGACAGATAACAGAGACATAGAGAACATAGAAGGAAACCTCCTATGATCCGCGGCTCCGCCACATAACAGAGAAGAAGAATCGCACAAAAGAGAAGAGATATATGAGAGATGATTTGAGAAATATAGAAGAGAAGCGAGAGGAGAGAAGAAGAAGAAACGAAAGAGAGAGGAGAAGAGAGGAGGAGAGGAGGGGGGAGAGAGAGAGAGAGAGAGAGAAGAAGAATTGAGAGTTAGATAATTAAAAGCAGGGAAGGTACGTAGACATACAAGAGTATATAATTATATAGCCTATGGGAACACGGCAACAGAATCATGAGAGGAGAGACCGAAGAGAATGAGAGATATATGGAGGAGATATATATATAGTATATAGAACATACATATGTTACGGGACCTTAGATGTAACATATCATAAATTAAGTAAATGAACCAACCCTTTTAAAGAGAGAGATATATAGAGAATAGAAGTGACTAGAAAATGGGGATTTGGTTATCCTGGCGCACGCAGCAGCATAGACAAATGCGAGTGACAGCAGAGCGAGGGTGCACCGGTACCCAACAGGACAGCTGCTTGATAATATAGAGGATGCTAGCTGACTCTAAAGGATAATAGAACACTAGAAGGATAGATAATAATAGAGAGAGAGAGTGAGAGATCACATAGATAGACATAGAGATGCTGATGACTACAGCTCAGTGAGGTAAGGACTACTGAGTGAATTAGATAAAGTTTAAATATAGTCTAAGTTTACAGTCTCTGGTCACCATTCTATGTAACATTCCAAGGCACTACATTTAGAATATATAGGAGATAAGGTATTGAATCTTCAATAGTATAAATATAAGACGAAACAAATTCTTATAATGGAGAGAATACAAATATATAAAAATAAATAAAGAGATAAATAAAAATAGAAAAAGATATAGATATATATAGTAATTATTTTAGAGAAATACAGAAGAAAGAGATTATATGGTTATGTTCTGATGTGTGAAAGATACAGGATAGATAGATTTCATATTATAGAGATAGAGACAAAGAAATCAAATAGAATACATAATTGAAGAAAGAGGAGGAGAAAGAATATATAAATAGAATAGACACATATAGATAATGAACATTATAGAGAATGGTAGTGCCGCGGACTGTTACTCATAAGTAATACTCTGATACCGGTTACTTATGTTGGTTGCGCAGATATTTTACGTAAACTTCCTTAACGCATAATGCCTTATACAAAGAGTATAGTCCACATTGCTCTGAAATTGGGAGGGATATTCTATTAATGTTCACAAGATCCACAGTCGGATTGAAGTTTTTGCCAGGCCGTCTTTCCTGCAACCGGCGATGCTTTTATAGGTATTGTCCTTTCTCCTAGATAATAAATTGATCGATTTAACTAACACGACATGAGCTCAATGATTGGTCAGTGCTTTCACTTGAGATTGAACGCTCTTAGCTGCACATACTGCTCCAGGGCAGGTTAACGAACCAGCAAGCATAAAAAGTTACTCATCAGGAGACTCTAGCACTATGCTAAAGAGAACAGCTATCGTAGGACCGAACACCGCCAGACTTTTCTAAGGCGTAAAATAACTGTTCGTAGATTACCCCAGGTGTTAGTATACCCTTATAATTCCCTCGATGTTTTTTAAATGTTTTGAATCAGGCGACTCTAGTGGTAGTTTTTTAAAAGACTACTCGGCAAATGGCAGTGAGACAGAGCAACATGTGACTTGTGTTTGTCACTGTCCATTTACTGTCAGTAAGATAAAGTCAAACATAAAGTAATCTAATGTTTCGATAATTTATTTGTAGTCATGTTGAGCAATTATTTAATCGTAGTTAGTATAATTGCGTCTTTGCTAACGTTCTTCTGTGTTGATGAGGGTTCATTAGCAGATAGCCAGCTCATGCTAAGCAGTTAGGATCTTGTAAAGTAGCCTATTAACTGCCACTGTCTCTGAGCCTACAGAACCTATAAATTCCTAAATTTCCTGCTATTATGGCTCTTCTTGCAACATTTAGTTGTTGCATGGCAAACAAAACGCAACATATCTAAGGCATAAAGCATCATGTAAAGTTTGTAGCTTCATTAATACGTTTAGTAGTTAGTTCCGTGACAACATTTTAGCTACTCCATTTTAGTGACTTTTAAGCAGCGTTTCTTTGTGTCATTTAACTTAATATGTAATATAATGCACATTTACTGACTCTTTCGCTATATGAAAAGGACTAAACAGACTAGGAATAGTGATTACTTAATGGTTGGTTGAGATTTTTTGTTTTACTCTTTAGTGTAGAGATATGCATTTGGTATTTTAATTGCATACATTTCCAATAATGCCAATTTGACAAAGGATGACCATGTCTGAGATACAGATATACATGTACAGTGCCCTCTTGATACATTGATCTTCTTATTACTTATTGATTACTTGCTGAATATAGCTTAATCAACTCATTGGTAAAAAAGTGAGAAAGAGGCAATGGTGTATTTCCAGAGCCCATATGAGGTTTCAATGTCTGCTTTGTACGAGAAATATTGATTTTTCCTCATTATTGATCAATAATGTTCATTTTCGACTATTGTTTTAGCTCTTTGTTCAATGTTCGGGCTTATTTTGTCTACATTAACACACATTTACTGGGTGACCATGCCAAAACTTCTTATCATTATTCCAGTACATTGATTTGCATGACTAAACATTTCTACTTGTAGAGTTGCTTCGTAGCATTAGTATTTTGCCACTTGCATTCAGCTTAATTTAATGAACTATTCACACATAATATTCATCATGTCAAAACAGTTGTACGGGCTGACTTTGAGTCCCATGGGTGTCGTTCTATGTTGTTCAAAAGTTGTTATTATCTCCCTGCTCTCAGCTTACAGGGAATATCGCCTTGCTTTTTCACTTTCATTGTCTGTTAGTAGCACAGTAATACATCTCTCTCTCTCTCTGTCTCATTCTCACACCCACACACACACACACACACACACACACAAAACACCACACACACACACACACGCACACACACAGACACACCACACACACACACACACACACCACACACCACACAACACACCACACCACGCGCACAGATACTGGCAGTCATTATCCACCGCCCGCACACACGCACGTACAAGTACATACGGAGCTAGTCCCAGTTGTAGGTGGTTTGCTGGGAGGACACGGCATGTCCATGCTGTTTAGACATGTTCCTCTCATTAACTCTGTCTCCTTGTCTCCACTTCATTTATGCTCCACATCTTCCTTTAAGCAATACTAAACCCACCTTTTTGTCAACTCCACCCTCACAGCATGACGACCTTTTAAGCCACATCTGAAGGAGTTTGATTGAAACTTTGAGAGCAAAGAAGAAGATGACAGATATGCAGCCGGTATTGATATCATCACAAGAGTCGTTTCATTTGCTATCATACATTTATTCTTCCATCGCAACGAGACATTGAGGCTCAGGTGGCTTTAACTCATGACTTCTACCATGCACATCAAAGAGAAAGAACGGAGAGACAATGTAGCCCGCACGGTAAGGAGAGCTAGATTGTGCAATGAAGCTCGGAACGCTCGCTCGCGCTGCGCTATTCAGAAGCCTCCAGCGCCTCGCAGTTGAGAGGGTCTTACTGAACAGGGGGGGGCTCATCATCTCCCTTCCCAGCCTAAAGCGCCGCGCTGCGTTATTGCCTTACTCCAGAGACGTTCTTTGTTTTTTCTGCTCTGAGGCTTTTTTACTTCGGCTCCCCTCCACCTGTCGTGCTGTCTTTTCGCCCTCTTTCGCTGGTACTCTTATCTGCCCACCTCCTGAGCTCCGCTTGTTATTATTTTGTCCTCTGTTTTGAAGCCTCCGCCTTCACACCGCGGATCTAGAAAATCGTAACCCCCTCCCTTCCTCCCTTCCTCCCTCCCTCCCTCCCTCCCTCCCTCCCTCTCTCTCTCTCTCACTCTCTCTCCCTGCGAGGAGGGAAAACAGCATCACCGGCCGAGCCTCAGTAACAGCACATTCAACAGGGTGCAGGCAGCACCTTCTGCTTCGCCACCTCTCCTCTGTGACTCGCATCTCTCCTAGAGGAATGCTCCGAGGGAAAGAAGAAGAGGAGTGCAGCCGGGCAAACAAAGGTCTGTTGTCCCACGCAAATCAGAAGAGGTGAAAAGTAAAAGAAGAAAGGAGATTTCACAGTCTTTCAAAGTAACCAAGGAGACTTGAAGAAAGTACAGAGACACTGAGCTACTCCGGCTAGTTCAGAAGGAGTTAGGAAGGGAAGATGCCAGCTGTGGCGCGAGTTTGATTTGAACACCCTCCTCACTTATCACTTCTCTTTGACCACATTTTCAACACCGATGGCTTCCAAGAAGAAGTGGTCCGAGCGGAGGGAGCTGCGCAGGGATCGGCCGTTCTCCACGCGGGACGATTCCTCGGTTGCGTCCGGGACATCTGGGCCGGGGCGCCCCACCACCAGGGGGCGTTTCTCTGAGTCGTGGAAGAGGATCAGTTCCAGAGGGGGGTCCACCAAGAGGGGGGCGCTCAACTCCCAGCAGCCACCGGTAAGATGTTTGGAGGATACACAGGCCCCCTCTACATGTTTCCCCCAAAGATGAATCAATGACCTGGGTGCTGGGAGGGGACAGGAAAGGCTGTCAGGGTAGCACCTTCTCCTGGGAGGGAGTTAAGCAACAGTGAGGGATTAGGAGTTAAGAGATTAATTCGAATTATGAGCATTCAAAATCCTAGATGATTCACTCTGTAGTGCGTCTTGCTTACACTTGAGTGCTAAAAGGCACGTAGTATTATCTTAAACTATTCACTGTCTTCCACCCTGTTTCCTTGGAAACCAGGTGCTGCAGTCTGATGACAATGTGTTTTCACATTTGGCTTTGTTTTGCCTCATATAGTTCATAAATAGTAGTAATGGTGGTACGATGCTTATATGCTAATCACCCACTTTAGAGCACCAAAACACATTATCCACTCTTAGTGATGATGGTGTCTGTGCTCCCTGGAAATAATGCGTACATGGACCACAGGGTCAGTCCATCAAAAGCCTTTAACACACAGTGGATACTTCATTGTAAACTGTAGGCACAACTGTAGCATGCTATAGTGATTCAACGTATGAATGAACAACAGGTGAGACAGCTCTGAGGAGAAATGTGAGCCACTTGCAAGTCAGTTATCCATGAAAGGCAACTGTCTCTTTTATGGCTTTCCTCTCTATAATGAACCGTGTTTGAGTGGCTGTGATATTACCATATTTATTGTCACTTGGTGATCAGCTAAAAATGTTGAGCCACTATAAAACTTGTCCAAGAAAAGAGGGCACGACGAGGAGCAATGATGGAACAACAAAGTAACTGCCAATATCAAGAAATGTAAGATTCTTAAGGGGTATATAGTGAAATACACATCAATTAAGAAACATGAATGAAACATCAACAGGACAGCTGGGAGGCTTTATGTATTTTTTCAGTTTGCATGGGGCAATATCCCATTTTTAGTATTGTTGTGTAATAGCAGTTCGACAACTTGAAAGACTGGAGAGGGAACATCCCCCTTGCCAAACGTGTGATAATACATCTGAAGACAGCACAACTGGTAGTATTTACACATTTTGAGAGTTGCTGTCAAAACATTTGGATTTATTGAGAGAATTATGAAAGAGCAAACCACTTACTATTTTGGAAACTGGTTGCACACATGCACACTTCTCTTTTGTTCTTTCACTCCTTCCCCATGTTCTCCTGCACCTGCTGTGTGCTGGGGTGTTTTCAGTGCTTCCAAATGGAGTCATCCCCTGTGTCTTTTGGCTGTCTGTCAGTAGAGAAAGAGTCTCCATATGGATCTGGGGACCCAGCCACTTGAAATGTGGCACTTGCAGCTAGCTGGTACAAATATCTTACTTAGCCAATGTGTGTGGTGATATTTGGCTGTGATATATCAGAGCTGGGAGATGCGTGGGAGAGAGAGATATGCATGGTTTGAGATACCAGATCCATTCCTGGGGTTTCAGTTGTGCCCCAGTAACCAGCGCTATTTTGTATTGCACACATATTCTGTTGAAAAAAAGATATAGTTTTTCTAAGCAATACTTGTGGGCTGTCAGACAGTTCTGTCACAGAGGTGGATGGGGACTCAATTCCAAAGATACGGAGCGTTTAAAAACAAAATCAATATATTGTGTGTGTGTGTGTGTGTGTGTGTGTGTGTGTGTGTGTGTGTGTGTGTGTGTGTGTGTGTGTGTGTGTGTGTGTGTGTGTGTGTGTGTGTGTGTGTGTGTGTGTGTGTGTGTGGTGTGTGGTGTGTGTGTGTGTGTGTGTGTGTGTGTGGTGTGTGTGTGTGTGGTGTGTGTGTGGGTGTGGTGTGTGTGGCTAAGCTTGATCCCCTGGGATTTGTGTTGCTTGGTTATGAACCACAGAGTGATACTGCCAAGCTCTACTATTCTTGAATCATTAGACACTTTCAAATCATTACTTGTGTGGAGAATGAGTGAAACACACAGTTGAAG